CTTCTGCTTGTAAAAGCAGAGTCATGCTACTCCTGCTTTTTCCTGATTTTCCTACCTGCTGCTCCTCCCTTCTGGAGAAGGAAGTTTTTGCAGAAATGGAAATTAGCAGGTTCTGATTTAGGTGTAATATGTCCTCCTGCTGTAGGGAGGATCCAGAGTCTTGTGAAAACATTACTCACTCTTCTTTTTAAATTGCTGTTGATTCTGCAGTGTGGGTTTTTTGGGTGTTTTTTTTTTTATATCACAACTCAAAGGGTGGAACAAAATGACAGTATGAAGATTTTCTTCTCCTTCTATCAGACCCTGAAAAGCAAACTTTTTTCTCCCTCATTTTACAATACTGTCTTCAAACAGTACATTGCAAACAAGTACAGCTTAAACCAGCTTGATTAGGAACTGACTGAGCCAGCCTGACAGATGATATTTAGCAACCTGTTTAGTGATGTTAGAAAACATTCTCATGGACTTCTGAGAACTAGTGCTAGGGGCCTACCAGAACTATGACTCTTGTCATCCTATAAGTTAACTTGCTGTTTTATTCTTGATTTTAATTGCCCTTATTTTGCATATGTGCATTTTAAAGCACATCCAGTCAATGTATGCTGGCATTTAAGGAACAGCTTTTTATCTTAAAAGCATGATACAATACTTGGTGAAGTCTTCAGCCTCGCTGTTCCCTGGATTGCAGTGCAACACTGTCCCTGATAGATAGGAGAAGATCTTAAAGTAAATTCTCAAAATTGTGAGCTGGTAAATGTTCCTGAGATAAATTTTCGTGTGGATGACTTGTGGCTTTTTTCATTATCATTTGAAAGCTGTATCAGTCAAGACTTACCCAATGGTTGTACTGAGAGGCAGTGTTGCTGTTGGAATAATTCATTTGTGCGGCAGTTATTTCTATTATTGCTCGTGTTCGTGGCTCATCACTCGGTGCCACTCCGGGTGCTCGGGTATCTCAGACACGGACAGGGGTGCCCAGGTTTCTGATGGTCTCCCCTTGCCTGCCGTCCCCAAAGGTGAAGCTGTGTTTGCACGCTGCCTGTCGTCCCTCAAGGAGGAGAGAGTGCAGGCCAGCAAGCTGCTGGGAGGGCCCAAAGGGACTCAGTTCAGTGGGAACAAGGAGGCTTTCCTGGAGGACATCCGCAAGGTGAGTCCTGCTGCGGGGTTACAGCGGGGCTGCGGTGCTGGGAGCCCTGGGGAGGAGCTCTTGTGTTTGCATCTCATGAGAACTGGTTCCTCTGTCAGCACTGGGCACTGTCTCCTGATGTCCACAAAGCACAATGAGACCCATTGCTAACCAAAGGAAGGTTAGGAAGGATCCAGAAGGAATTTAACTCTAAGCCACGGTGGGCAGAGACAACTGCATGGGGCACAGAGCTCATAATTCATGCACAGGAGCTTGTCCACCCCTCAACACTCCTGCCTTGCCTGGGTATTGCTCTCTTGATCTCTCTCTCTTGAAACCAAACTTTCCAACGGGAAAGGATATTTTGTTTCTCAAATAACTGGGATGTTGCTGCTGTAGTCATCCCTGTTGAGATGTGGGCTGAACAGAGTGCTGATCCCGTGAAGTTAGTTTGTTGTTCAACTTTGTGACACTTCTCTTGGAATGTGATTTTAATTTTTTTTTTCTTTTTAGGCCCTGTATGCTTCCAAGATTATCTCATATGCTCAAGGCTTCATGCTGCTGAGACAAGCAGCCAAAGAATTTGGCTGGACACTGAATTATGGTGGTATTGCACTGATGTGGAGGGGAGGCTGCATCATCAGGAGGTAATTGAGATGAGGAGGTAACCTGGCTGCTGAGGGGAGAGGGAAGAGGCAGTTTAGTTTGTGAGGTGCTTGGCTGACAAGCCTAGAGATTTCCTTGGAAAATCCATGCAGTTACTCTGCTGCTAAGATTCTGAGAGGCTGCAGACAACACCAAGGGTTACCAGATGAACCCACTGTTCTGGTGGCTGAACTGCTGAAAATGTTGTATTGTCTTTGCCATGTTTGGAATCTTAGTCTGGCTGAGTCAAGTTTTAGCACTGTAAGTTTTGAATTCTGAGCCTTTGTTGGAAGCTGTGACATTTATTCCTGGTTAACTTTTGCCTAGTGTGTTCCTGGGAAAAATCAAAGATGCTTTTGATCGAAACCCTGAGCTCCAGAATTTGCTGTTGGATGATTTCTTTAAGAAAGCTGTAGAAAACTGTCAGGTAAGTTCCAAAACAATAATTTACAGCCAGGACTGTCATGGTTTTTCTCTTTGAAACTGACCAAGCTATGATTGGAAACTGAAGGTTCCCTTTTACTGGTGCAGAAGAGCCTTAGGCAGAAATCCAGCAATTCAGAAGGACCACAATATGAGGAAAAAAGGCCTGGCCTGTGTCTTGTGCCTGCTGTGCAGCTGGATTTCAGCTGAGCTCTGTTCCAGTGCCATTGTTTGCAGCAGCCCCAGAACAACAGTTCCAGACCCACCCATCCATTCTTTAGGCCTGTGTCTGTGAACACTGTCCTGATTTGGATGGAGTTGATGGGTGGAATTAAAACCACATTAGATGTGTGGAATTAAAACCACATTATCTGGCCAAAAAGTCTCATATTATCATTAGTAGTTCTTGTAACTGAATCTGAATATTGCATGCAAGTTACTAGACCAGATGAACAGTTGAACTGAGGATTATCCACGTCTGTCTGAAGTGTCAGTGCTGTCCTCTGGGGCCCTTGGGCGAGCTTTGTTCTGTGCTTGGTGAGAGGTCCTGGAACATTCCCCTCAGAACATCCCCACTGAGTTCATGCTTTTGAGATGCTCTGACCATGTTTATGTGAAAGAACATCATCCTTGCTTGAGGCTGTGGTTTGTCTGCTGTTAACTCTGTCTTACTTGCCATTATTTTAGATCAACCTCGTTTATGCAAAATCGAGAATCTGCTGCTGTATTTGCTCAGACTTGGTTATTAGATTTCACAGACTGAAATAGCACACACAGTTGTACTGGAGCAGTTCACGTGCCTGCATGTCCCCCTGAGCCAGCATCAAACTGACGAGTTTCCTTTCCCCCCTCTCCCCTCTGCCAGGAGTCCTGGCGCCGTGTGATCAGTACTGGTGTGCAGATTGGCATCCCCATGCCCTGCTTCACTACAGCACTTTCTTTTTATGATGGATACAGGCACGAGATATTGCCAGCTAACCTGATTCAGGTAGGCACTGAAATCTATTCCTCATTAGGTAACAGTAGGTGCAACTTCCAGGACTCATGATACTGACATTTGTGTGTCTGGTTTGTCTGTGTGTGTTCTCATTCCAGGCTCAGCGTGATTACTTTGGTGCACACACATATGAATTATTATCAAAGCCAGGGGTATTTATCCACACTAACTGGACAGGCCATGGAGGAAATGTGTCCTCTTCTGCTTACAATGTCTAATGGAAATCCTTCCACTTGGAGCCCAGATACTGTAGATCTCCAACACTTCTTCTAGAATATCACTTTTTACTGTACTCCACTAGAACTTGTGTTTGGACACTTTTGTAATAACTTGGGGGTGTGTTTCATACCTATATGTATATCTCTCTATATGTATCATATAAGAAAACTAAATAAATTTAGTTATAAATGTATTGAGGTGTGTTCTTTCCACTGGTGCTGGCCAAAACTATGTAAAATGTTTTTGTGCAGTCTTTAATAGAATTTATAGTCATGTTAGGTTTATAATATTGTAGTGCATGAATTCCTAGGGGTCAAGACAGAGATGACTACAGTTCAGGAATTGCTGAGATGGAGAGTGGCAGACAGCACAGGAACTTACACAAGGTTCCAGGCAGGTAAAGGCCTTTCTCCTGTTCCATGGTTTATTCCTAACAGGCAGTAGCTTGGCTCTTACAGATTTAATTCCTGGGCATTCAGCTGCTCAGTCTGTCACACTGAGCTCTGTGCTTTTGGTGGAAGGAGAAATGAAACTCATACTCTATTCCCCCTTCAACTGTTGTTCTCAGTTTTAAGCTCGGGCATAAACATTTTGCATTCCTGTGTGTTTGCACTTTCCTCCCCAAATCTCCCTGATTCTTTGCCTCTTATTCCACCGGGACAATTAAAAATACCCAAAACAACATACAAAGTTGGCTCTATTTTATATCCTCTCCCTGCAATGCTACTGCCAGTCACCTTCAAGACATCTGAAAATTTACTTGGGTGTCTGAATTCACCTTTTCATTTCTCAAAACCTGTTAAATGTTGTGCTGTGCACACTGATGTTTACATTAATGTTTGACCATATATATTTCTACTAAGACACCTACTTAGTCACTAGTTGAATATATGTATGAGGTAAAATGTAACTTTCAGCTGAAGGTACTTTTTCTGCATATCACACGGTACGATTTGGGAGTTCTGTGGAACAAACGCGGGTGACAGCGACGCTGCCT